AAAGGCAGCCCCTCGCCTGCCCCAGGGCCAGTGCCCCCCGCTGCAGCCACTTGCAGACTGCCTGGGGCTGCCTGTGCCTGCTCCGGACAGCCCCATGCGCGCTGCGAGCTCCTGCAACGCGGGGTGCCGGCCATGGATCAGGTGAGGGGCCACTTTTCCCCACGCTCAGCACCAGCTTCTTCCCTGCTGGCAAGCAGGGGGTTGGAGCTGTGTGCTGCCCACAGCCTGTACCGCGGGGCTGGGGAGCACTAGGGGTGAGTGGGCGGGGAGACAGTGGGAGCACAGGGCCCACACTGGTGTCCTGGGGCCAGTGCCAGTGGGGCCCAGAACAGGGTGGCAGGAGCACGGGGTCCCAGGTGGCAGGAGCTCTCTGGAGCTGGGCCAGCTCCCCGCTCCCTGCTGGTGCAGCCCAGCCCAGGTCCACGGACCCCTGCCAGCCTGCGCCCTGCTTTGGGCCCCACTGGTGCTGGCCCTGGGACATTGGTCCTGAGACATTGGGACGTTGGTCCGAAGATGGTGACCAGGGGGCGGGGCACCTGTCAAGGGGCAGAGCTACCCATGCAGCCCTCGACAGCCTGCCAAAACTGGGTAAGCAGCCCTCCACTCAAAATAATTGCCCACCTCTGTTGTATGGCATCAAGATTTTTATAAGTGTCTGCTGACAGTGTACTACGGCACCTAACAACTTCAGGATTCTTTTGCATCATAAGTCAGAAATGAAAAATATCTATTAGGCCCCTGGCAGGAGTTAAGTTAATTGCATAATATGGAGGTGTGGTGCCAGGAACTGGTCCCTGATGCTGTGCTTCTTATGGTGCCCTGTAAACTTTCTGGCATGCAGGGAGACCATCAGAAGACTTAGAACTGAGGTGCAGCCCTAGATGGGGCTGCAATGAGTGATTTTCAGTCCATGCAGGGCTGCACCATGCCCCTGTTAGGCTGCTGACATGTGTGGAGCCCATCAGATGATTGGCTCCCTGTGCCCTGGCATGGAAAGCTTCCCCTATTCCCAGCTGCTAGCATTGTGGATCAGAGGTGAAGATAGCTGGGGGGTGGGCATTTCCCATGGCACTCCACCTTAGCTGGTAAACAAAGCTCTGCTGTGTACCTGGCACTGGTGTGACAAAAAGAGAAAGTGAGCCACATATAACACGGAATATTTTTGTGGATGGTGTCTCATTTTGTCATGCCATGGAGTA